ACAAAAGAATGTGATGACGTCGTAAGATTTCTTAAGAAACTCCTCCCGGAAGTACTCTAATAATATATTTACATTAGAAAATCACCATCTTCTTTTCAGACGGCTCGGAGGGTCATCAGGAATCGAAGAGGAAGAAAGATTAGAAACAAGAAGGTTCGGATGATTCTGAAGATTATTATAGAAGATAGGTATCTGAATTGAGCCAAATTGATAACATAAAGAACATTAAAGTCGTTATGGATGATTTCATTAGTGACAAAGTAAGCTATAAGTTTTTACGAAGGGTTTTGGATTGTAAGGATTGGACACGAGAGGAATTCGATGGCTTAGTGGAGTCCCAAAGCCCAACTCCGTAAGTCCATATTAAACATGTATATGACTCTTTTGTAATTAATTGGAAGCTTAGAGTATTTGTCTAGTATGTGTCGAGCGGTTCCTTGTCGTTTCTGTCTGGTATGACGATTCCAAGTTTGTTCAAGTGAAGTCATAGGTATCGAATTTGTTCAACATGGATCAGTGAGTTATTATTAAAGGATACTGTAGGTTTAAGAAAGTTATAGGTTTACGACAAAGGGTAAAAGTGATTTGATGGGATTTATTGCAATTTATTTTTATCCTCCAGTTTTGATACAATTCATCAAGATCTGTGATGGATGATTGAAGATCTGGGACGGGAAGTTTAACAATAAAAACGCAAAAAGTCTCGAATTTTCTGATACATATTTGCAACGATAATTTGAGTTATAGAAAAGTGGTGGGGGCGGAGGTTTTATATAGGGTTTTTCAAGGTTAAGTGTCCAAACTGCAATCTTAAAACAGGAAAAAAAATCCTATGAAGGTATGTCCGCAAATGCTTTGTTTAGCAGATATTCACACCTAAAGATTTTCATAATTATGAATTATTAACGTTATATTAAGTCAATAAAACTTATTTATTTGTTCCACCTACTTTATTAATTAAACTTAAACATTAAATTTATATTAAATGTTGTTTAAAGTGATTTCCTTGAGCATTAGGACAGGCTCGAAATCATTCTTCAACAGCAGCAAAGGCAGAACGGCACTGGAAATGTGTTACTGTTTCACAAGATTTAATTATCCATCTTTGTGAGGAATTAAGGTCATCGACCGGACTTGAATAGACTTTTTGTTTAATGTCACCCCAAACAAAAAAATCCAGTGGTCAAGTCTGGAGAGCGTGCAGGCCAAGCCACTATTCTAACTAATGCATCTCCTAAGCAAAACGTTTGCGGACATACCTTCACTTTGAACAACATTCAGTATGAATGTTAATATTTATATTTAATTAATAAAGTAGTTAAAATAAATAAATGGGTTTTATTTATTTCATCTAACGTAAATAATTCATAACAACGAAAATATTTAAGTATGAATATTTCCTAAACAAAGGGCTAGCGAACATATCTTCAGAGGACATTGTTTTCTTGTTTGGAGGTCCTTAGTTCATTTTTGCAGTTTGGCCACTTAACCCTGAAACATCCTGTATATAGATATATATTTACCACCAAAATAATTTGTTGTTTAAAATATAATTACTATTTGTCTCGTGCGAATAATTCACATAGTATCTAGGTCAGTGAACAATTGACAATATAATATGGAAATAAGTTGATGCAATGCATTACGAGTTAGAGGAAATAATTTTATCTGTCTCAGTCGAATCACATTCATTTATTCATAATAATAAACCAAAATATTTTTACATTACAATAGGCTGTATCTTTGCTAATAATAGTCCGATTTCGATAACTTTTTGAGTTATTTCCAAATAAAATTTCTTTACGTTCATAACTTGTTTTCCTGAAATCATAAGGGAGAGGAGAGGTATGACTATGAATCGTCATTTCTGCACCAAATACCCTTTCGTTTGATGCCTCATTCAACAAAATTTACTCAGAGCCGTAAAAGGGATATAGACTCCTTTTTATCAAATTAATAATATCGGCTTAAAACTTCGTGAATAGCTTAATCTCATCGTAACATACAATTTTTTTATTTACGAAAATTCTCGGTTTTGGGGCGTCTTCGATCTGTAAATCGGCCGACTGTTAATTTCATTAGGTGCTAAGAAAATCATTAACACTCGTTTGCTATCCACTTGAATCATAAGATAATTTTATCACAAAATCGAGAAAAAAGGTGACTTACAAACATATTGAGTCGTTAGGCGTTACCTTCACCCCCAACATGTCAAAATAACGAGGTCATATGGGCCAAAAGCCCCAATATTGTTTAGATTTTGTGATCTAATCATCTTATGATTCAATTAGAAAGCAAATGGGTATTTGTGAGTTTTTAGTACCTCTTCGAATTAATTAATTTAATGAGAAAACCCACCGTTTTCTATAAGTTTTAGACGGGTGTTAATAATTTGATAAAAAGGGGTCTCTAAAATGTACTTATACATTACCAAATATTAACGTATTATTGATAAAGATAGATTTTTCTAATTTTTAATTTTTTCTTTTTAGTACAATCTTCGCTAATAAGGTTTATTAATAATAAAAACTCATAATGTTTTATAATTAAAAAATGATTCATATAAATGCAACAACGCCAAAAACAATAGGGTACTTGTATGAATTTTCATTTTTTCAAGATTAATAATAATAATAAAAAGGCTTAGCGAACCCGAAGGTTCGATGCCGACACCACCAATCGCTTATTGCACACCTCTCTCCATCGTTCGCCGTCCAAACCCAGTCCCTTCAGATCGGCTTTAATGCAATCTTCCCACCTTCGCTTCGGTCTACCCCTCGGACGCTTACCATTCGGCACAGCAAATATTAGCCTTTTAGGAATTCTCTCGTTACTAAGTCCAACAACTTTACAAGCCCATTTGATTCGCCGCGATGAAATTATCTCAATTATATTACTCGGATACATTTCACGCAATTCGGCGTTGTGTAACCGTCTGAACTCTCCGGTTAACTCATCCTTCTTCGGTCCGAATATTCTACGCAATACTTTATTTTCAAAAACCTTAAGACGCTGCTCATCCCTTAATGTAAGCGGCCAAGTTTCGCACCCATAAAGAACTGTAGGCAAGATAATTGTTTTATAGATTCTAATTTTTAAGTTTCGGGACAAGAGGCGCGAACTAAGTAGTTTTGTCACAGAAAAATAACAAGCATTTCCCGCCTTCAGTCCAACCTTAATTTCTTCTTCAATTTCGTTTTTTCTAGTTATCATAGAACCTAGATACCTAAACTTATCTACCTGATTTGATATCTTTCAAGATTAGATTACAATAAAAAAAAATGCAAAGGTTCTGAATGTTTCTGTGCATATTTGCAAAACTAATTAGCAAAAAAGAAATTTAGTTGGGACAGAGCTAAATCCCAAGTATGGAAAAGGGGCTACCTCCTGCCATGCCAGTGCCTAGCTCACACTTGGTTATCTTATAATTTTTGATATCTTTCTATTGTTTTCTTTCTCACTCTGTCGTATGTGAATTAAAACATTTATTTCAAAAAAATGTATTAGCTTTCAGAAAATACTCTAAACTTACTCGAGTATATACTCCAGGGTGTGGCTTGAGTCCACTGTATCATACAGTGGACTCAATCCACACCCTCAGCACCCACCACACCTCCAAGACACTGTAATTTCAAGTTTTTGAATAATATGAACCAAATCTCCGCTCAAACAATCCAGTTTATCTTAGTTTCTGAGAAAGTATCACCTAGATTACTCCCTTAATTAAATTTCATTGTCTAGTTTCAGACACGCATTCAATATCCATTATGATCTGTGAATAGCCAGCTCTGAATGACTCAACTTACTTATGACTGATAACATTTCAGTTTCTTTATTATCTTGCAGTTTCAGGCAATATTTGAAAAAATATTAGAGTGGTGAGCCACTCACCTTATAGACTTTTTACAAATCTGAATACAGAATGATATTAATGTGATTCTGGGTCAAACTAAAAAACCAACTACATCCTGTTCTTTACAAATTTTATGTGACAAACAAACCTCTTTTACAAGTACACATTGCCCTTGTTAAAACTCTGTATTGAAGCCCTTTAAGAAATACAGGATCTGTATGATTGTTGGATAGGCTCAAACCCATCTTAATTTTACAAGAAAAGAAAAGATTATGATGCTTCCAACGCAAACCTACGGAACATTCCTTCATTCTCAAAGTCACTCTGGGAAAACTAACAATCTTCCTATTATGTAGGATTTGTATCTGCATTCTAAGATAACCAATCAAAAATGGAACAACAAAAAAAATCCTGTACCACAACCCATGGAGAATCTTGGGTTCAATACTTAATAAGGAAGTATTGTTTCAAGGCCAACGGTTATGAAGGGAGATGATTAGGCTAAGGTCATGCTCAATTGCCAGGTTGAGGAAAGGGGATTTTCCTGACCCCGGGATCAATCTAAGGCTGATGTAACAGAATAAATAATTCAGCTGCTGAATAGCGGAGGGCTAATGCATGTGTGAAACACCCATTGCCTGGCAACCTGATAAACTAAAGATTACGAGTTCGGATCCCAGCGTCCATGTCATTAATCCATCGCCCTCTCCCGTGGCCTGGGAAAATCCTCTTATAGCCTAAAAGGTGATGACTGGAAGTAAAAGAAAAAAAGGAGAAAATAAATAATTAACCTTCTACAGCTTTATTAGAACCCGGAAACCTTGAGCATAGGAAGTCAGATCCTCATTCACTAAGTTACTCCACTGCCCCAAAAAAAATTTAACTTTACCATTTATTGTGTATCAGAATAGTGTGACTACTTTTTCTTTGTCTATTTAGAATTTAACCAATATATAGAGGTGTCAGTTTACATTTCAATTTTTTTTTAACTATCATAAGTAATCCAAATAATTGGCATGAATCAAGCTAACAGTCATCACTTATTTTTTTGACAAAATCCTTGATATTAGACACTTAATTATTTTTTACTCAATACTCATTTATCAGGACAAAGAGGATTTTAAAAAAAATAAAAACAGTGGATATTATATAAAAGAAAAAATGTGTAATAAAATGAAAGCAACAAGAATATTATTTTATATATTCTTTCATAATTAAAAAATATTGGAATGTTGATATAAATAATTACAATAAATATATCTCAATACTTCTTCAACATAAAAGACATAAAATAAAACAATATAAATACATAAAAAATCCATATTGATAGATGTTCAACATCTTATTTAAGCGAGTTCTGTTTTCAACTATTGTGCTTCTTCCTATATTATAACTGTATCTTATTCTGCCCTAATTGACAACTTTGAGTGGCTATTTATATAATTTTTATTTTTCTTATTATTTATTATTACTTTAACATACTAAAAAGTAAAAAACAAATAACACTCAGACACATACATAGAACCTATTATAATACAGTTTTACTAATTGTTTTAATATAAAATAATGTACAAGTTAATAAATACGTAAGTACCTATACTTTTTTTTTCTAATTTAGGTTTCTGATCGGGATATATCTATATACAGACTTGTACAAACAATATTTCTGAATTCAAACATTCTAAGATTATAAATATAGTGCAACAATGACGTTTTGTATTTACATCGGTCTTCGAGATATAATTTAAATAAGAGTGAGAAGCACGCCATTATAAATAAAAATGCTACTGTTCAATATCACTGAGAGGAGGAGTAATGATATTGGAAAAGCGCATCATGTTCTCACCGAGGCTCTCTTCAGGACCCTGACCACAAACGAGGGACTGCACAGGGTCCTCAGGTGTTAGAATACTCGTCCAAGGCATGAAGATTGGTTCTCCTCGTCTTGAGACAGCTCCAGGAAACCCAATTTCGTGTAGGATTCCACTAATTCATCATTTTTTCGATCGACCAAAGTGAATACACCACATGAACCTGTTGACATTTAGTTTATTTAAATAACTTCCAAGGTTAAAACTTTTTGACTGAATATTAATCAATTAGTATTTACCATTAGCCCTCAGTGCTGCCAGGAGGCATAGAATCAGTCTCTTAGACACAGATTGGTCAGTAACAGTATTTCGTAGACCACAACACATAACTGATGGATTTTGAGGTTTAGAGGCATTAGCAATAATTTCGATCAATGGATCCTAAAAAATAGAAGAGAATAAAAGTGACTATTAACAGTAAATCAAGACTCATAAGATATACTAAGTTTCTCTAATATAAAAAATCAATGTATACCAATATCACAGATAGAGACATTTCCATTTCCATTTGAATTATAATCCAAACGAATTAAGAAAAATGGGAGAAATAATTTATAAAGTTTTAAAAAAAAAAAATAATAAAATCACAATTCTGGTTTCAAGACCAAAACTCAAATATTTTGAAATACTACACAACACAATTTTCCTTATTGATGAAATGGTCAAGAAAATAGCAATGAGAGTTAAAACTTTTTTTTATTAAGAAAAATTAAAGGGCATGAAGGCAGCGTGCTTATTCATGGACCACTTTTTTGGCGTTGACAGTTTTAGTGCTCAGGGAAATTACAAAAAATCCATAAAATATTACCACAACATTTTGTTCACAATGTCCCTGAATGTAGGACCTAAAGGTTGTATAAATACTATCAAACATTCCACATTAGAGTGACATCTGGAAGAGAAGCCCTCTATCTATAACAAAGAACATCTCTTCATTATTATTAATATTCCGTTAAAATGCTTAATTGAAAAGAATGTTTATTGAAGACTTGTTGGTGTTTCTTAGTTCATAAGTCAACAATTTCTTGCAGTGACCTTTTCATTGTTGGAGATAAGACCCTTCTCATCACCGTAGGTCCACTGCTCCTGATTCGAACATTCAACCCACTAGTCAGTTCATCAATTAGAAAATACAAACAATACTAAGACGATCTAATTACTCTTTAAATTTGCATAACTGACGAAGCCAGAAAAGTCGCTAAAACCATACATTAGAATCTTCTTTCAATAAATTTCACTATATATAGGACCTTTTTTAACACACAAATATATGATGAATATTTTTTACACTAATAATTCCGTTTTTAAAAGAAACGGTTTTGTGTAAAAATGGGTTTTGAAGGAGAAGGGAGAGAACTTTTCAGTTTTTTCAAAAAGTTTCAAAACTAAGAAATTACTTACTTAAGTGGCTGTTATTTTTAGTAATTAGCCTGGGTTATTAAGTAGATATTTTAAAATAAATAAATAAAGCTAAACCTCGATTATGCATCATTAAATTGATCCTTTGATTTAAATGGCACCATCTCTACAATAATCACTGGATAATTAATATTTTACTGTAATAATGATAAAAATAAAAGTTTTACCTGAGAGGTTGTCCTTGAAGAGATGTCTTTTGCATTAATGAATGCCAAAGCATATCCAGCTACTGCCTTCTCTTCTTTATCTTCACATTCTTCCTCAACAATAAAGCAAATGTCAGTAGAGATCTGGATGAGACACTCGGTCAAACGAGACAAAGACAGCTTATCTAACGGAGTAGACTCGGAACTGGTAGGCTGTTCAGACGACTGTGAAGCCAGTTCCTGGCTAATACTGACAATCTGTTCATTATCGCTTGGCTGATATCCTCTGATTGTATATATTGTACTGCTTACTGTCTGAGGCACTTTGTATACAAATAGGTCTGATCCTCCGTCAATTGGAATAAGACGCTGAAGAAAAAGAAAGCATGGTGGAAATCAAGTGGAAACATCTATTTATACGATATTAGTAGTACAGCTTAGCATGAAAATCACTGTTGTATGAGAGGCAATCGGCAACATAAACATACATATATATCTATTTATTTTAAATAACACATTATAAATAATCGACCTTATTCTTTATTAAGACCATGAAGGCTTGTTTGGGTCAGTTAATATTTATTTTGAGACAATCTAGATATCCAGTTTAGATAAGACAAGATGACACACTCTGGTTAACCATCAGGATTTGGTCAAGTTGACCTACAGACCCACTTGTCATACGATTATTATTACAATTCACTTAAAATCATTTCATTTTCAAAAAAAAATTATAGATTTGTAAAAAAATATACTGAAGATAGAATAAACATAAAAATCATGGAACTACTCAACTTTTTATATCACAAAATAAAAATCTTTTAAGCATTTAATATACTTCTAAAATTGGAATTTTTTAAGATTACCTGTAAATCAGCAGTGAGCCCTCCCCTGAAAACCCAAGGTTCTTGTTCTCCGCTCATGAAGCTTTCTTTCCAACCTTTTGAGAACCCTGTAGTTGTAAATAAAATTAAAATTAAAATAAACATTAATCATACAAAGTACCTATATGTAAGAATTACTTTAGGAAAGCTATTATCATAAATATTAAGTTATGATAGTACTACATAAACAAATAATAAAACAATAACCTTTTTTATGGCTATCATCATAAAACATTATAAATGTCCAAATACAACTGTGTAAATATTACCAATAAATTAATACAACCAGATTGATCCATTAGAAATAAAATAATAATTAATTTATGATGATAAATCTAGTAAAATTTAAAACATGTTAATTGTAGCATTCTAAGAAGTAAATTCAATAATAAATAATAAAATATCCTGAAATATTGTTTTACAATAAAACAATTTTTAAAAAAAGGAAAGAATTTCAGGTGTATCAGAAAAGTGATAAATATTATTAAAGTAGTAGAAAGATTTTTCACTCTCCCTTATTTAATAATTTTGCTAATGTAAGCTCAAATTCAACCTATCTCTTAACCTGACTTCCACTACAGTAATTTTATCTCTTAAATATTTTTTAAAGCAATATTATTTGTTTATTATTTATAAAAAATAAAAAGACTACACTGCAATAACATTTATGATTTCTATATCACAAATAACAAAATCATAGTTTACAGCAAGTAGGTAGCAAGGTAAAAAGACATTTATCTGTCTTATAATGTTATATAATATAACTTGTAAAAATATATAATATAAATAATGTTAAATTTTCTAGAATAGTACAACTATCTACATTTAACGAGTAATAGCGGAATTAGACAATTACATGTATAGTTTCCTACAGCTGGGTTCTCTGACATTTGACACGCTTTTCCAGAACCTACAAACAAATTTAAATTAGAATGGTTAAATATTAAAATTATTGAACGAATCAATGAGAGTCTTAGAGAGAAAGCTTATTACCTAACCAATTTATATAAGAGTTAAGGGTAGATATGACAGCCCTCATTTCCCAAATATAAGGATATAATTCATACATTAGTTCTTTATTACTAATAGTGTTTAATTTCTGGAAAAGTTTATTTACATTTTTACTCATCTCTTCCAGCTTTTTCGCCCTTTCATGCCACTCTTCTCCCTGTTGAAAGAAAAAAATTCATAAAGGTCATCTGTTAATTCTAAAATATCGATTATCACAAATATTTTGATTTTAAAATATTCAAGTATTAAGGTAAGTAAAATTTTAATCAGATATTACTCAGGGCATTAATGAGAAATAAAAATACAAATAAAAGCTCCAAACAGCAGTGCATTTTTTCATCACCTTTGGTTTTAATTCGTGATCCTTACATATAATAAGCATATTCTAAACTTCACTATTGTAATCAATTTTTATTAAGCTGTGAAAAGACATCTGTAACTTTATTTTCATTGAATGTATGCTGTAAGACAATCTTTATTATGTTCTAATTCAATGGTGTTTTTCTTATAATGCATGTGTTCAAAAATTAAGAAAGTGGGATTAATGTAATAAAACATTTGTGGAGTTTTAATACCAAATTCTACAGGCATTAACAAGCTGATATATATATGAAGAAATATGAACTCCAACATCAATTAATGACCAATTTTTTTTTTATCATTTTAAATCCAGATTTTAAAAAGATAAAATGGCAAGCATACCTAATTTTTTTAATCCATCAGAAATGATAAATAGTCACCATGCCAAGAAGATATATATGTTTAACATAATTTAATTAAATAAAAAAACAAAACCTTTGCCACAACAGCCCATGAAGAGTTTTGGGTTCAGCACAACTTAGGGAAAGTACAGTTTCTTAGAAAAGGGTTGTGCAGGGAGGTGATTTGATTGAGATCATGCTCAACCACCAGGTTTTTCCCTTTAATTAATTATTTAATTAAGGGTACCCACTATATAGAGGCTGGCTATGCCCTGTGAGAGTCTCCTGATCCCAGGATGAAACAATAAATAATTTTTCTGCTATGAGTCGGGATTCGAACCCAGGACCTTGAGCAGTAGAAGATCAGTGCTTTACCAATGAGCAACCCCACTCTCCAAAATTAGTTTAATAAATATTCTTTTTTTTTTAAATACTACCTCAGGTTTTGAAGGTGATGCAGAAGCTAAAGCTAAATGGGCGTTAGTGTAGAGCCAATAAAACTCTTGTAAAAGTTGGATTCCCTGTGTTCCATGTTCAAATGGTAAATAAAAAAGATCACACAGCAGTGTTACATCTTCAGCATTAAGCTGTTGGCCATTCCAATCGTTCCTAAAAAATGAAAATATAAAAATAAATTTTCAATAGGTTAAAAAAAGTAGAAAATAGGTAAAAAATAAAATTACTAAACAAGTAAAACCAAAAACAATTATAAGTAAAATCACCAATTAAACAATCATATATATTTTGGTTGAAGGCTCATTTATTTGTCATTTATGTTAAATTCCTTCTGAGACAGTATTTTTCCCAGCATCATTAATTAAAATTACAACCTCAAGATTTTATTGTTTAGGATTGAAATTCAAATCGCATGTATCAAAAATATGATTATCTTAATATTACGATTTAAGAAAAATTTTAACTTTTTAAAGAAATATAAAACAGATTTCATGCTAAATTTGTTTATTATTTCATTGACTAATGTAATTCTGGATTTAACAACAGTGGCTCCTTTGATCTCGGAGAATAACATTTTAAAACTTAAAAAATTCTATAAAGCTCCAATTCAATTTCTCCAAGAGACATTTTGTACTGTTTAATTAAGTCAATACATCATATCTAATTTAAATAATAGATTAGATGTTAAGATAAAAATACAGAAAAATAAATAATTTAACATTTTTTGATCCTAAGAGTGGATTGATAAAAACTTATAAAAACTACTTTTAACATTTATAACTTACATGTCAGATATACTACTTTCAGGAGAATTTGAGTCAATGACCATTTTTGCACCATTATCATCTAAACTATTAGGATCTTCTTCAACCAACTCAGGTTTATCGATAATGCTCGATTCAGCCTACAAACAATTTTCATTGGAAAATAGATAAATAAATAATATACTTTTTAATAAAATTTAATTTTAATTCATTTATCCATTCTTAATTAAAAAGAAAAATAAGTCTCTAGTAAATGATCATGATATACAATAACTTTTCTGTGCCTTGATATTACAGAGCAATATCAAAATTTCTCACTTGGTTGTCATGATTAAAAATTCAATAGAACCTTTGAATGAAAGTAAAGTTATTACAAAAGATTATATTGATTTAACATATACCAATATATATATCGATTTACATATCTATTATGTATATAAAGGTAAACTCTATCACCTTAACGAGTTCTGTAAATATACTATTAAGAGATAACAATTATTCATACCTCAATCGGAGGTTCAGATTTTAATGGTTCCGGAGGCGGTGTCGCATTGCAATCCATTGGTTCTGTACAAACTTTTGTTTCAGATAAAAGAGAGTTCATAACAATGGGTCCAGTATTACCATTAACCTATAAGAAAAATTTCATTAACGAGTCATTCAAAATTAATATATTAAAGAAATAAACTAGTTGTCTAATTTTATGCAAAACAAATACATTTTACAATTTACCATAATCAAATGTTCACAATTTTGCTTTTTATTTTGCCAAATATCGAACTTCTTTTTCAAATATTTTCACAAAAATTAAGTAAAGTATTTAACAAAAAACTTGTACAACAAAAAAAAAATCTAAAATACAAGAAAAAAGTACATTCAGTAGGAAAGTACATTCATCATTATCTGTATGAATAAAATGAAACTTTTTAAAAATCATATTAGTGAATAATCAAAATAATAAATTTTCAATCCTAAACACAGGATGTTATGTAATTCTAAGTATTTACCACCATATTATTTAGTTATAATTAAACTTTCATATTTTCACAAAGTATAATAACATAATGAAAATAAATAAAAGAACAAAACATAAATAAGAAGATTAAGATGTTTGGGTAACCATTACAGATCCGTGCAAAAAGTTTGATAGCCTCCACTCACAGCCTATATCCATCTACCTCCTGCAGAAACTAAGAAGGAAAATTAAGAAAGGGTTGATGTTTAGTTGAAAATCTATTGTCAACGATTGATCTCTAATAAGCAAGATATGACCAATCATGATCAATGGATGTTATAGACCCTGTGGCAACATGCAATATTTCAGTGGATAAAAGTGCTGAATTTTAGATGCAAAGAATCCTAGAACAACAGCCTTTATATTCTCTAAACTAACTAAATTGTAAGCCACAAAGATACTTAGTCATAAATTGGAACAAGTTAATGTCAGGGCTTACATGAATCCCAAGCATTAAGGGCAAGTCAAATTTGATGTATACTATTAAGTTGAAACAGTACTGGTGGACTATTTACTAAAGCAATTGTAAGCCAAATGGTTTCTTCTTTGGCTATATTGATTCATATGGGATATCTGAATTCCTTCCATAAATCCAGTTTTCATCATATCTTACACAATTAATTTGATAATATGATCACTAAATAGATATTGAAGCAATAAGTGAAAAGTTTTCCAAATGTTGGATTGCATAGGAGCTGATAGTTTTTGTTCACTCTACTTCTTCAAAATTAATTTAAATAAAAGTTGTTTTATACATCTACTTTGACAAACCATAGGTATAGAAGAGGAAATATAAATTGAGGGGTAAACAATGTTACAGGTTACTGACCGTTGTGCAAACATCTGCCAAAGCTGATAACTGGGGAGTAGAAGTTGACACTGAGCTGACAGTTGAAGTCGTAGTTAAAGCAATACAAGTATTTACCACCGATGGAGTGGGGACTACAGCTAATACAGCGGGAGTCACAGGCAAAGTTGTAATCACTTGAGGTTTTGTTATAAAACCTAAAACAATGTAAGTTCAAAATAAACCTGAGAAAAAATGAAGTATAGAGTTATTAATTGTTACCGGCACAAAACGTAAACAAATTCGAAACATATATGAAATATAAAACACACCTGAAGCTTGCCTATTCCGGTGGAACTCAGGAAGCCAATCTGCAATAGCATTTTTCAAAGCCCTCCTTGCGTGATACATGTTAACAGGTAATCTTGTAGGAATTTCAGTTCCATCATCTGCTTCAGTTTCAAGTTTGATATCAGAACATACACTTTCATCTAAAACAGTTAAGTAGTGAAAACATTTGGATGCTTAACAATACTTAAAACTGTTGTTAAATCTCATACTTATTATCTATATAGCTTGAAATATTCATGACATCATTCCCATAATAACAAATAGTACTTAACAAAAGAAATGCTGTTTTTAATACATTAAATTATTAGTAGCAAATCATCAATAATTTCAAGTTTCACCTTTACAATACATTATTCAATCAAAATATATTTAATGGACTCCTTCTAGAGAATCTATAAAAGCTTCTTCACGACTGTTCAAAAGATTGAAAAATTTACTTTGCAACTTAAAAACTTGACATTACCACATTCAAGAAGCCCAAAATCTCCAGGAACTAATATTTGTTGATTTCTTATTACCATATACCTCCCACCAGCTGTCACTGTGTCCATCTAAGCCATGATTTCCATTTAACTTGCTTATCACATCTATTGTTTTAAACTCATACAATTCAATTGTCATTAAAAAATTTTGAATCAAAAACACCAGTAACAGTTGATACAATTTTAGATGTGTATTATTCATTTGAACATTGCAGATAAAAACTAGTGCCTAAGAAACTGGAAAAGTATTATGACACAAAAATTATATTACAGAAGAAAAAAAACTTAAATTTTCTATTGCTAGCTCGCAAAAATATAACAGAGTTAGGAAAAATTTAACCATCTTGTAAGTTAAAATAACACCCCTCTCATGAGTACCTTTAAAATACCATTATATAATTTTTTTCATACATGAATTCCATTCAGTTATAAATTCTTGTTTTTATTCATACTGTTTCTTACATTTTTCATATTTAAGGCAAAATCAACATAAGCATATGATATGTAATTTAATTGTTTGTCAAGTCAATTGAATGTGTAGAAGATGAAGTTTTTTCTTCATTTAAAGTTGTTCTCATTTCCCTACTGCTATATTCTTGTGAGTGAGCTATAGATTAAATTTATTAAATCATTTAATAAGAATAATACTTCAACATAGAATTATCACGAAAATTTGTTGAAATATATCTTTAACAAAAAAAAAAACACAATTAAATACAGCTACCATTCCTAAAATTAAAATAAAAAGATACAGTTCAAAATTAACAAAAGTAAAATAAAAATAAAGCATTTTCCTATATTATTGATTTTAATTTAATAATAATTTCAATTATATTAATCTTGATATATTATGATAAGATTTGTTGGAATTATATAAATAATTTAATCATTAGGCATATACATCACTCTCAGGTAATTATTGCTAAACATTTTGAAGTAACTAAACATGACATTTTAATTTTTAAAATTAGCTAAGGGATTAGAATCTGAATTATTTAGTCTTTAAGCCAAACTCATTAAAGGGGAGGATTTTTATTTAAATTTATCCAATAACTTTAACTTATAAATTTATTTACTATTAAGAATATATTTGCTTAAATTAAGTACATTATACATCTTACTTCTGTCACGTTCAGCCTCCGAATTACAGCGAGACCACTGAGCAAGAGTATGAATAGCAACGAAATTGGCCCAAAATTCACAATTGGGATTCGTTAAGACACCTCGCAATCGAGGAATCAGATCTGGAGACCTCCCTTGGTAAGGACCAAGAAAGACCCTCTTTTGGTCATAATCGTTAGCATGAAGATTATCCCAGATCACAGGCGGCCGCTTGAGCACTTCGGTCACTTCTTCTATGGAATCAACTGTTAAGACCCTAGATATCACTTTACTACCTGATAAAATAAAACAATTCATTAGTTATTCACTTGATTTTTATTATTCTAATGTAGAATCCAGGTTTAATAAAGCAAATAAACTTCAACTGATACACGCTTCATTTTTGGATTCATACAATTTTTAAAAATATCTTGACAGAAATAATTCTATTATTGGAAAGATGAATTAAAAGACTTATTAATTAAAACTTTAACAGTAATGATACTTCACATAATAATTTTAATACTATTGAAATATATAATCTTCAAAATAGATAGCTAAGGAAAAAAGTTATCAAGTAATTATCAGCATCTTTTTTTATTTAATTATCGAAGTTTTTACACTTTCTATAAATACCTCATAGTTGTGGAATGATCTAAGGGCTGAGAGCTCCTTTAACAATACTGGTATTAAAAAAATTCTATTGGAAGCACAAAAGTGTTGATTATACAAGAAAATTTCTCTCAGTTACTTGTTAATACATTAATAGTGAAAATTTAAGTATTAGAATTATTGAAAGGCTAAAAGTGTCTAAATAGAAGAGAAAAAAAGAAGATACATACATAAGAAAGAGAGGAAAAAAGTGTTCCATTTAAAACAACAATAACAAAGAAGACATGTCCAGTAAAAAAACAGAACACAATCCATTAATAGTGGAAAAGAGGGATAAACACCTCAAAGTACCACTAAGGATCCAAGAGATTTGCGCAGGGGTGCCAACCTGCAGGGAGGAGCCCACCACTTGGAAAGGAATTATAAAAAAAATACATATATAAAGCATATGAAAATAATTAATTTTAGCTTTTTCAAAAAACAACTGAATTAGAGATATACTGAGTTAAATACAAATCAAATATTACTTATTATAAAACACCTTAAGAAATAATTTTAATTGTTTTGGGAGATGTCATTGCCTGGATGCGCCAAATGTCCAAGACCAGCATTGTATATAAGGTTACTGGAACCCACCTTTGGAAGTCCATCCTAACCTTTTGGCAAAGCTCGGCTGCCCACCCGCTCAGGTGGCAACTGTTCCACATTACCATCCCTTATTTCTTCCTCCTAGAACCTCCACATACGTCTGAAAACAGTCAGTAGTTACCAAGCTGGTAAGGCGCTGATCTCAAATGAAAAGAAATCGTTAGGGATTTGTTTGCTCCCTTTTGAGAGACCACTAGTAAAAAGCAGCGATGTAATTAAAGCTAATTAATGGCCTAATTTTAACTGAAAAGGGTAGAGAGTTTGATCAGTAAAGAGTTTGCCATAAAGTCATGAATCGTGAACTAAATAAAGGGAAGTTATGCTGTACATAGCCCATTTGTAGGTGGAGTGACACTTATACAGTGGTAGGTTTTTAATAAATATCTTTCTCTTTATCATTCTTTTTTAATTTTTATTTCTCTTAAATACTAGCATATTTATTATCGAGAGGATTTTCTTTTTTGTTTTTGATGTTTATATATTTTTACTTTTTAGCTATTATATACAGATTGAATTTCAGTAGTGTAGTATTTGACCAATAATGTTTTCTGTTTATTTATATTTGATATTCATAATAGTACAGGTCATAGAATAAAGTTTGTTTTTTTATTTCATTCTATTTAAAATAATAACAAATTTAATTAATTCTTGTATCTATATAAAAAACTCGTGACCATTTATAAAACCTGTTATACCTAGCAGCATGAAAATTATAAGTACGTCTATGAAAACAATAAACTGTGAAATGTTAATTATGATAATTACTGGTGTAATACAGCTCTTAATGAAATATTGGTATTTAAAAATTAAACGTTTGAATTATCAAAAATTGAGATTTTAAAGAGATCAAACAAAATAGACTGTTTGAAATTTGTCTTTGCCAGATTATATTGCTTTTGTTTATATGGCAGTTTATAGTTTCTTAATTTACTTATAGCACTATTTTTTTTATTTTTTTTTTTGCCTTTTGAAAAAATAATTTATTAATTTCAATAATTCAATCTATTTCAATTTCAATAATTGAAATTCAATTCAACAATTTCATTAATTTCAATAATTCAATCCATCACAAAACCACTTTCACACTTATTATTTCTTAATTTAATACTAAATTAATTGAATTACCTGTCCACATGATATCAATATCAGGTGCTAATTTAGAACCCAATGTTAACAAATATTCAGAATTTTGCACATTAGGAACAGCACGAGCTGCACAATATTGTGTAGGGCAAAGAAGGAATTTCGGTTGGTTTAAGTGGTGATAGACATCATTTGTAACAGAGACCTAGCAGCAACATAAAAAAAAATATAGTGTCATCCTTAGTTTCTTAATCATGAAAGATTAAATAAATACAAGATTTACCTGAGCGTGCGCAAATGATTGGAAGACTTCTTTATCAGCTTCTGACATCTCTGGGTCAATATCATCAAATAAAAGGGCAAAGGCAACACATCCAAACTGAGAAACTTGTTCTAATTTCCTTTTCAAAGTAAGTACTTCCTTTGAATTCGAATAAGTAATATCCAAACCAGGAGAAAGGGCATAATAAAAAGTTACTCCATTCTCATTAGCAGAAGTTATAAGACTTGTCAGATGCTCGGCTTCTTCTACTGTATACAAATCACGCCAGTTAGCTCGGTGTTTAGAGTCATCTTTTGGTGCATATACATAGGAGTTCATTCCCCACTTCTTCAGCCTAAAAATTTGAGATAAATAATGATACTAATTCTTCTTTAGAACATACAAGAACGTGAAAATATCCTTACTTTTGAAATAAATCCTTTCTCTGCTCTGATGTCCATGGCCTGCCATAAAAGCCTACAGGAAAAAAACTACACTTGAAAATCACATAGCAACTGGAATTAACTGGTGTGAGCAATAAATAAGCATGCTTTATTTGCGAGAATTAACATTCCTTAACTATAAACAATCTAAGCAAAAAGAAAAATTAATAGAAAAAAGCTCTAATTCCTTCAAATGTTCATTTTGCCAAGAAAGGAAATTATCCCGTTATGTTTATCAGAAATAACAATCATAATGTTTAACTTTTTCAACATTTCACATTATCATACATGAATCGGGTCTCTAGTTCGCATTTATTTTACCTTCAACAACTCCACAAATAAAATTTCCATTTTTTGTATTCATATTATTGATAATAGGGCAGTCGTCAGCCATTTTCTGTACACATGTAGAACCTTACGATCGAAGTAAGTTTATAATAAAAACAAGAGTGAATAATATTATAATTCAAATTATTCTAATTTTAAACAGAGTTTATAATTTTACTAAACCCTTTCTAGCCAAGCTGCGAGCATAATTTAATTGAAATTCAGTAAAAAGCAACCAATATGTGCGACATGCTAACTGCAGTGGCATATTATGAACTTGGAATCAGTTGGCAATGGGAACAGCTGGTAGATGGGCGAAGAGAAAGTGACCAGTTTTATTGAATAGTTATTCTTCTTCTACGTATACATTTCATGTTAAGTTTAATCTGTAATAATGGCTGTTGTTGGAGGAAATCTGGAACTGAAGGACATATTTGAAAAAGAAAGGTTATTAATTTCTGCTGAAACAATTATGTGTTTACATTTAAGTGTTGTTTTGTTATCACTCTTTCAGATACTAAAAAATTAGTTTCATTTGATTTGCAGGTTTCCTAAGTCTAATTGGCAGTTTCTTTCTCTAGCTGTGTATTTTCCATTTGGACTTATACTTGCTCTACTTAGATTCTTTATAGGTTTTCATGCTTGTCTTGTAGGTCTTGTACTGACTCACACTCCCTTTATAAGAAGGTAATATAGAAGAAAATATGAATTCGAAAGCTTGATTTCTTTTTAAATAACCATTTTAATGTGAAATGTTTGTTTAGTATTGTGCTTCGAATGCTATGCCTTGTTTTGGGCATCAATGTTGAACAAGACAACAAACATGAACGTGACAAGTCAACTAGAGTGATAGTATCAAACTGTGTCACTAATTTTGATTATATAGCATTTCATCTTACAACTGATTGTGTGACAGTAAGTAAATATTCTTTTTAATTTGATTTCCATCAGATAAATGCTGTTTTTATCTAACTATTCTCTCAGAGAATTTTGTGTCAATTCATGGCGTTGAGTTCTAAAACTAACTTCCAATTGGTTATTTTATATTAAAATATTTTTTGAATAGGTGTATGATAAAAAATATAAGAAAAGTCAAATAATGAAATAATTGACAAAACATTGTTTTGTAAAAAAAATTTTTTAATTTTAATTCATTTTAAATTTTGTATCTGTTTTTTTCAGTCTTGTAAAGTATAGTAAGTTATGACTGTTTGCTTTTTGCAGTTTTCATTTTATAAAAGACCATTTTTAACAAATTGAAAATGTTTTATATTAGCTTATCTGATAATAATTTATAGACTATCATCATGATTTTGTGCGATACATTTTCTAGATATGTTAGTGTGATATTTAGTATTAATGTATTATGAGTATTTTATACAAATAATAGTATAAGTTGTCAAATGAATAAATCTTATAGAAGGCTATGATATCAATATTCATAAATTTGTCGGATATTTGCATCTTTTAAGTTGTTAATGGTTTTAGATAAGTGGAAAATACGTCATTATATACACGTTCTCATCATTCTTTTTTATTGGGTATTTTAGATTCATTTTATGATTATAAATTCAATTCATTAAGTATAAATAAAATATTACTGTATCGATAAATCATTATCAATTGTTATTTTCAATTTTGTTTTTCCGTGTTATACTTCAGCATGATTTTGTTCTATTTTTGTTATAATATTACACAATGTTTTTTTTTTTAATGGAACCTGATACTGATGTGTTGCATAATATTAGTTGTTTACTTCCACTTGTTGATGGATAAAAGTGTAGGGTGTACATACTTATGCTATAGCCTTTTTTATATAATATATATTTTTATAAGTGATTGATATTTTTTTCAGCATTTTTTTTTATGCCCATTGAACATAATTATAATCTCTGGCTTGATCAAGAAGTTGTTCGTTAGTGCATGTAATAAAATATAAAAGTTATTATTATCAATTATTATTAAATCATTAGCTATTGATGTTTAAATAACTTAAATTGTTTCAATTACAAGAATTATCTTTGGTCCTTCAGCAGACTAAATTAAAGATAATGTATGTCAACAAACAATTGTAAAAAAAAAAATGTACAATTTATGAATTAAAAAATTAGAAACATAAATCGGTCTTCCCTACTTTCTTGCCAAAAGAAAACCAATTTGATTAAGAAAGCAAAAATAATGATTTTTGTTTACCTGGAATTAAATAAATTTAAATCTGTTTATTAAAGTTCGATCCAAACCTTATCTTTTAAATGAAAAGTAAATTTGTTCATCACAGTGGTAACTGAAGTGATTAGTTTCAATACTAGCCCAATGTCTGACCAATGCCCATTATCTCACCTAATAAATTCATATTAAACAAAAATGTCATATTCCACTATAAAAAGGATTTCAAACTAATGGGATGCCAAATAGAGCACTATTATATTTTTATGGTATCTCCTATAAAAGTTTTGAAAATTAACTGATCCGGTTTTTCCTCAACTTGGCTTTAGTGTTGAGCATGGAAGATTCTTATTCTAGGTCAAATAGTTGAGGTTCATATTGTTGGTTTATTGCAAAAACTCATTAATTAATGTTTCAAAAAATTAAATCGCGATTTATTTTAATAAATTTTCGCTCTGTTAAATCAAATAATTTATCTCATTTTTTTAATCCTCACAGCATGTTTTAGAATAGATAAATAAGATCGAAATTCAGAAAAGTATTCTTGAAAGTATAGCTCCATCGAAAATGTATTTAGTAACTTTTTACAACAAACCAATGATATATTAAAACTGACACTTCTCAAAGAAAAAAATAAAACCACAATTGGTTAAATTGGCATGTTTTTTAATTAGCAGCTAACTACAATTCCTCACTTTACTATAATTTTGTTATAACTTTTTCTTGTATTAAAATTATAAATAAAAAAAAAGACCTGATATAGATATTATATAGTAATTTTTTTTTCTCCTTTATCCCTTATGCTATTACTGCAATACTCATTTTTAATGTTATGTTAAAAAGTTCTTTGGCGTAGAACAACCATTAGCTATTTAAGAAAAACTGACCTTCAAGATTGTTTTCATACTTTTCTTGATTTTTAATTTACATCACTTTATTCCATTATTCAACAGCATAAAAAGTGGAATGGTGCCATACCGATAAATCTTTTCCCAGGCTTACATGATTTTAGTCAGGAAGGAAACATATTAGAGAATTTGAAGGGACATGTCGAGAGGAGTGACACACCATTACTCTTCCAACCTGAGGAAACAACTTCAGGAAAACACTGTCTTCTTAAGTAAGTGAGTTTAAAATAAGTTATAAAAGTTAGTCAACATATTAAGATTTGTTAATTATAAATGGTATCAATTATACAGTCCGTGGCAGCTAAATTTTTAAGGCACTACCTTACTAATTCAAGCCACAAGTGGTCCCAGGTAGTTTACCTGTAGGATAACCATCTCTTATACCATACATGACCAAATTGTTTTTATAAAATTTACTGTTCAATATTTAAGGTCCATTTTTAATAGTTTCCGTAAATTGTAAATGTAACTCCTTGTTAAACCATTTGAGAAAATAAAGAGGGGGTCTGGAACCAACGAATCCAAGTAATAAAATTATATTTATAAGTACAAATTATTTTTATTTAAATTATATTTACTTCAAATATTCTTGATAAAGAATAATTTTTTATTGTATGTGTTCTTACTTTGGCCCAGGGCTGTTTTTTTTGGGATCAGTTAGCCGATATTTCAACCCAAACATGTGGGTCATCATCATTGTTATGAAGTCGAGACAAGAACTTCTATAACTAAGTCTAACTCATTAAAGAAATTTTGATTAAAATTCCTGAAAAATTGTTTCATCCTTATAATTAATCAGTCGACTACTTACCCATCTCCAAATAATTACTAATACGGTAGTATTAGAATTTATTTTATACATTATCTTTTCCACCTACTAAATATATAATTTAATTTATGAAATTTTGATAAAACCCAACATTTTGATCCCTTCGGTTTGTATACTGTTCTAATATACAATCACTAATATACTGTTCTAATATAAGTCGGTTATAATATACTGAACAGAAACTAAAGCATTTAGTAATCAAAAGAATTAAGAACAGAAGAGCAATTATTGTATCCTTCTAATATATTTTTCTCTCGTATAGAACAAAGTTTGGACAGTAGAAAACTGTTATTAGTTATTAGTTTTATTAGTTCTTAATACTGGTTGACCGCTTGTTTTAGCATGCTCGATCTGCTATGGCAGATAGTTAGAGGCTGTGCGATGGTGAAATAGAAAACATGTGCTCAGATAGTCCTTGTTATGCAAAATTTTTAATATTCGCTATCATGAGAGACATGATAATTGCATGTAATATATAAGAACATTTAGAAGAATATGAGGATAATGAAAGAACAGTAAAGTTTAATTGAATAATAGTATAAGAAATTCATGAAGACCAAGACTATCAAAACGTCAAGGGAAATTGTAATATTAAGAATTGATTAAATAACACTGTTCACTCATTAATTATAATTAGAAAAATCATGAACTTCCTGCCACCGTAAAATTATTATATTATTTACGAAATTATTTTCAAACTGACGGATTATTGTAAAAATTGTGGTTTAGCTCTAACATAAAGTAAATTTATTCTCTCATATTACCCCCTTCCCACATTCTTAATTATTACTTAACAAGAAACAAGTTTGGTGGTACTTAAAATTTAAAAAAGTTTAAATATAGTCACTTGTAATATATTTTTTTTTTTAATGCTATTTGTTCAAACATATTATTTCTTTGATATGTATATCTTGAATTCAGTTTATAATTTAACAAATGGTTTTGATATATTGCAATTTAAATTAATTATAATTTGATTTTTTCCAGGTTCAGCACAACAGCTGCAAAGATATCGAAGAGGGTTCAACCAGTAGCTGTAACTGTCGAACGCCCATTATGGGCTAACACTGCGACTACAGTACTTGGTACTTCTGCTCCCTATGATCTATTTTGGTTCCTCTTCTCGCCATATACTGTCTTCAAATTGAGGTATTGCAATAAATTGAGAGACATTATTTAGATTCATTATCAATTATTTAAAATGTTGATTGCTGATTGACTAAAGAACAAATTCAGGAAAACTTTTAATTGTAAATCATTCAAGGAGTTAATAAAAACAAAAGTTATAGTATTGTATTTCTATTTATTTTGTTTATATCTATATCTGAAAATGTTAACTTCAATAAAGATGAGCACTATGTCCCATAAGTTTTGAGACTGTGGCTTATAAAATCTGTACTGCCAGCATCATCTTCATGAAATTTTGGAAACTCATTCAATTCCAATGAAAATAATTGGAAAATCATTCAATCCCAATGAAAATAATTAGAAAATTATTCAATTCCAATGAAAATCATTGGAAAATCTGGATCACATGCAGCTGTTTAGTAGTAGCAGTTCATGTGGTAGTATCAAAGTGTTTTTAGTCATAATTTCATGTTGAATAAATCTAACGTCTTGTGACTAAATTTCCATTTAAAGGTGGTTAAAGTGAGAGAGAAATGTTGGAAATGTTAAAAATGGCTTATGTTGGATCGTTTATGTCTCATGCTACTAATTATGTACTTTGTTTTATCCTATAAATAAATTTTGGTTTTAATCAAAAATATGTTTCATTAATCATTTCTCAGTTCATAAGTCGAAAACGTAGTTCTACATACACAGCATATAATCTGATATTTACTATGATATCCATGTTGCTATACTAATTTGTCATGAATTAAATTATGAGGTCATAGGTGACAGACCTTTTGTGTAAAAGTTCTATGTAGACCGATCTTATGGATCTATCGTCGGGAACACAATTCCAGATTCATTTATCTTGTTCTTACTATTGTTGTTAAACAAGTGCATATATATCCCTGCCAATTCTTTTGTGGAAAGCTGGTCCTAGATTTTCTATTGTAGATCTCTCCTTATGCATTTCTGAGAGTATTATTGTTATGTATATGATATATCATACAACTCACTTCACTGACATTGTCAATTTTCATTAAGTACTTATATCATCAGCCTCTGGAGGTTGATCATTATAGTTAATGCTTAATATTAATATTTAAAATCACTATAATTTATTAGATTTAACCTAAGAAAATTTTAATCTTGTATTATTTTCAAAAATAACTATCAAACCCATCTGTGTTTTTAAGATTTTAGTGATTAGTTATGATTAATGTTTCTTTTATGCTTTCTTAGTTCAAGTCCAAATAATTTGTTTGCATGTATTCTAAGGTTTAACTTAAATTGCTCTTAATTTGTTTAACATATCGCAGTTTCTTTGGTAATTTTTGTGTTTGTGTTTACATTATTGTTATGGCTACAAAACTCAGTCCCTGTAGCTTATTTTCATTACTTAATTTGTCATTCTACTTGCAAATAATCATAATAAATTTATGATTTAATATCCTTATTTCAATCCTATTTATTCATTGTTTTAATATTATTTATTTTAATGCTTTCATGAATGTGTCCGTGTGTCAATACAGTTTCAATTTTTGTAGATACCTAAATGTGCTTCATATGGAAAAAGATGAAACAGAGGATGCATTTACTGAAAGAATACAATCTGCAATAGCTGGAGCCTTAGGTTTTAGAATTTCTAATTTTAATGCTGCTGATAAAGTAAATTTTGATTTTTTAAATTGAAAATACCATAATATTGTATATTTACAGTAAAAAGATCAGTGGGTTTAACCCTCAAAATGAAAACTTTTTAAAAGAAGAAAAACTGTGGGTCACTGCCTAAAATCAAAGCCCAATTAATAGAGAACAATGCAATTATAAAATAAATCATTTTTTATTTATTGAAGATTACTCCGAATGACCTTTTTACTGTCAATATTTTATGTTATGACTAGTTATCGCTCTATTATATAAAAAAGCTTTTTGTTATCGTGTAATATTTTATTTTACATATAAAAAATCATTTTAGTACATTATTGCAAGTTCACAAAAAATAATATCAGATTAAATAATTAAAAATTAATTATTAATTTCAGTCAGATATTCATCTGAAGGTGGTAGTTTGATTTTACCTAAGTGACAGCAGTTATTTTTCGATCTAGACATTTCTCCTTGAATACAGTATATTAACCTGTTAACCGAGCAGGACGTATGAATACATCTTTGAAATATATGTTGTGCCAGGGAACGGGCGGGATGTATGTTTTTGAACAACAAAGGAATTAGTCATCCATACATGTCTTGACTTGAATTTAAGACACGGAGGGAATCAGTATCATTTTGCTATTGAGAGTAGTAGGCGTGGGATTTTTTTGTTTGGTATTCTTTCCTATTTGTTTTTAATTTTGTATTTTCCTTTGTGCTTTATATATAAATAAATGAAAAAATATATATTTCGTATCCACAGAGATGGGAATTCCACCGAAGCTAATCCTACTTGCATCGTGTACTTAAAATGAGAACGCGAGTCGAGTGAAAATAAATGGGAAACGGGGCCAACCTTTCGCAGTGAAATCAGGAGTTAGACAGGGTAACCCACTTCTATTAAACATCGCCCTCCAAGTTGTGGTGAATAGAGCAGAGCTTAGTCAGTCGGGCACCATTTTTAGTGAAATAACTCGAGGGCTTGGATATGCTGATGATGTGGCACTGATTGGATTGTCCCTCAATGCAATCAAGGAGGCCTGTGAAAGGTTGCAAAGAGAAGCTGGAAGAATGGGGCTATCCATAAATGAGGAAAAAACAATAATTATGGTGCTCAGGAAGAAAGCGTCTATAAATCCGCCTAAGCATTATGTAGTGTGACAATATACGTTTCAATGTGTGTCCAGTTTTAAGTATCTCGGCTCCATCGTTAATGATTGGGTGTCGAACTATAGAATACTTGTAAATTGCAGTTATACAATTTGAGTAATGAGTAGTTAATTAAATGAACAGTTTTATAATTTGTAAAATGGGGATTTTTTAATTATTATTAGGTTTTATGTTCCAAAATATTTTATGAACATTGATAATATAACATGATTAGTAGAAATTTCAAATATTCAACTCATTTTTGGATTTATTTTAATAAGTTTCACAATATAATATTGCTTAAAAAAAAAAAATATATATAGCTTTTTATATAGACAGATAGGTCTATTGTCTATTTAGTAATCAAATCTTTTTATAGGCAGAATATGAGAAAAGGTATATTGAAGAATCAAGGAGGTATTCACAGCAACCTATTGTGAGACCTGTTCCTCCGGAGCTCCTTAGAATGTCTGCACAGGTTTCTGAAGTGCTGCCATATGTGCCTACAGATGTTATCCTCAGGGATCTTGGTATAATTTTTTTTCTTTTTAATTATTTTCAGTTTTTATGCTTTTATCTATTATGTGTTAATGAATTTATCAGCATTGAAGGGTATATTGTCTATTATGTGGTCGGGATCGACCGCTATCTGCCAGTGTTTATAACCTGAACACTGATAATTCGGATAAGGCAATGATAATGCCTATCTTCGTATTCATACTTATTGTATTATATTCATATTATTGAAATTGTAAACAAAAACAAATGTAATAATAAAAAAATACTTTTATTTTACAACATATATATGAAATAGACGAAAGCAAATGTAAGAATTCACTCAACAATAAGAAAACGCTTTCATTTTATAACATATGTAGAGAAATAGAGAAAAATAAATGTAATAATAAAAAAACACTTAAACAACATATGCACATTTAAAAGAAACAATATAAACACTATGAACAACATATATACATATAAAACAATTTTATATTCATTTCGAATATAAGTTATTTTTCTTTTGAAATTTTCTTTCACTTTCTATTAACTTTCGTTCAATTTTCCATAATTTTTCTGAGTTATATATCTCGTACCTATTTACGCTTCCAGCGCTTTAGTTCAAACTTCGTCGGATAACCGTTAGAGATGACGCCACCTACACATCTCTTCTCTCTCCCCCTCCCTTGTAACGACTTTTATTCTCCCTGCGACACTTAAGGAGACAGGTAGTACTTCTTTTATTTCTTTCTTATTTCAGCTTTCTCAATTTCTTCCCTCCTTCCTTTCATTCCTTTTCTCTGTTTTAACTCTTTATTATATTATACATTGTCTGTACATCTTTACAATATCTCAATTTTCTATCTAACTACTCCATTCTCAATGTTTTAATTTTACTATTTATTTTCATTTCTTATATAACTTCATATTTCTTTTTTATGTTTTACATTTTATTCTAAGATTCCCATTGTAACACTTTTGTCACCCTTTTTGATTATGCTTACTTCATCATTCCACACTTTGTAACGGTTTTTATTATTTATCTCTTAGTTCTTAGTCATTATTCTAACAATTTCATTTTACTTTATATTTATCTATTTTATTTTTCTAATTTTTTTATTTTATTTTTTATTATCTTTTTTACCATCATTACTTATGTTTCTCATACCTTGTTATCTGGTTATTTTCTTAGCCCTGATGAAGGCCTGAACTTCAGGTCGAAACGTCGGCATATGTAAAAAATAAATATTATCATTTATTTTTTGCCTTCCTTTTTGACTGACCACCCCAACTATTCTTCTCTTCATTATCCACGACAGTCAACCATTTACCAATTATGTTATATTCATTTCATTTATTATGGCAGACAAAATAGTTTAATGCTATTTAAAATAGCGAGGAATGGGTCCTCTTCTCTGTTTTTGTTACAAGTGGTACGAAAGCATCTCCATTTTATCTTCCTGTCTAACTTCATTTGATGGCCTTCTTCACACAATATCACATTTGGAAGTATCCCGGCGTTTTGAAAATATTCAATAGCCTCTTCTTCTGAAGACGGAAATTTCCTCAATGTAATAACATCCATAATTTGAAGAAAATGACACAAATTGAACAAAAATAAAGAATGGAATAACTCACAGCATATACGATATAAGAAGGGAGGTTACGTGACTTCAGATTAGATAACAAGGGAGGTTTCTTCCCGACTGCATACTAGACAAGTACCCATTAATTTAAAAGATATTAGGCCTAGTCAAATCAGTTTTGACTGATAGGTATTAATATTGAGCTTAATACATGATCCTATTTAGAGCAGCAATCCCCGACTTGTGTCAGTAAATACCTTCAATGCTGTATATTTTTCATATTAAATGTAAATGATTTTTATTTTTAAAATCTAAGTAGAAATTACTTGGGAATATAGCATTTTCCTACGAAAATTGTCATTTTATGATATTAGAGCATTTTGACAATAATTTCCAATCTTTATCATTGTTTTTCTCTTTATTTTTATTAAACTAAAAACTGAGTGACATTATTCGTATTATTACATTCTGCTTGTTACATGCTCATTTGTCCATATTTTATTGTTTCAAATTAGTGTTTTTTAATTTGTTCTCAAAATGTAAAATATATAATGTTATCATCAAATTCTCCATATTTTAAAGCATTGACCAATATAATTTAGTGCAAACATATTAACTTTAGCTTTGATATTTTTTAATAATAATATAAACAATACTTTTTTATATGTTGAAATTATTTTTTTTATTCATTTTTTCTCCTTTCTCACCATTTCTGTCATACGGGATGTTGTTCTACAAAGGAGAGATAATGGGAGGTACAACCAAACCTCTTTAACCAGAGTCAGAAGGTCAAAATTAATTCCGTGGGTCAACCACTTTTTGTTATCATTGATAATATTCAACATGGGTCTGCGGTGGTCAAGCGAGTTAATGGGCCTGCAAAAATTTTAGGGGGCGTGGTGTCCAAGTGGGCTAACCCATGTTGCCTTGCCCGGCAGCCTGACAACCAAAGTTAGATGAAAAAATATTACAATGACATAATAAGAACTATAAAAAAAAACTAAACAAATTGTTTTCCATGCTGCTTGATTGATAACCTATAAAGCTCCCTTCGGGTAGAAAAAGGTTAAGGACTCGAGATTTAGAGTGTCTTTCACTCATTAATTTTCATTAAGTGGCACAGTTTGTTCAGTACAAAAGTATCCTCTATTATCTTACTCCATTCCATGTTGTCTTCAAGGATTACTCCTTCTTTTTGGTCATCTGAAAAGTTCTATAAGAATAAAAGTATATTTTCTAGACAGTGAAAATCTGCTAGGAAGTTATAAATCTCATTATTATTTTAAATAAAATCAATATTTTTCACATTTATTATCTTTTTTACAAGTTCTCAATTCTGGAATCTTCTAAAGAACTAATTTAATTATAACTGATCTATTTTTTAAATTCTTCATTAGTTATTAATTAGATGAATGTTTAACACTTACATCCAGAAATTGTTTGTTACCTGTAAAAATATTTTGTTTTTAGATCGGACAAGATCTGTGGGTATGACAATCTCAAATATTTTAGAAGGTGTTGTTTCTTACATACCTCTGTCACCTCAGGTTCAAGCTCAAGGAAGGCCCAATACATCTAGTGTAAGCTCTACAGTTATATATTTAAATTTTATGGAATATTTGACTTGGGTATTTATTTTCTTAGATAATTAGACAAAATAATTAAATCATTTTAAAGGATGGTACTTGGATTTTATTTTTTAAAAAAAAGTCTTTATTTTGTTGATAAAAATTTTTTTTTTGTGAACTCAGATTTTCTATTCTGATTTTACCAATGATTAGTTATATATGTCTTTAATAATCTCAGAATAGGTTTATGCTCATTAGTTACTTCCAGCTCCAATTGTAATATCTTTTAAAATGATGTAGATATGGTTGACCGTTGATATAATATGAGAAGGAGTTAATCGGGGGGGGGGGGGGTGCGGTCAAACAAATACTAAATTAAACAGATAGTAATTATTTAATTTTTACTGACGTTTCGACCCACTTTGCAGGTCTTCTTCAGGGCTACAAAAGATGCAAAACATGGTGAAAATAAAATAAATAAATATAAGTAGATATAAAATAAGAAGAAGTTGTCAGGTACAGAAATAAAATCATCATAAATAAAATCTTATTTTATATCTACTTATATTCTTTTATTTTATTTTCACCATGTTTTGTATCTTTTGTAGCCCTGAAGATGACCTGCAAAGTGGGTCGAAACGTCGGTAAAAATTAAATAATTACTATCTGTTTAATTTAGTATTTGTTTGACCGCACCCCCCGATTAACTCCTTCTCATGTAATATCTTTTGCTCACTTAATTTCCATTTATCAAATTTTGTATGAGTTAACAAATACTAAAATCTACCATTTTTTCATGGAGCAATTTTCTTCTTTAAGTGCCGCCTACTAATATTCCAGTGGTGCTCTCTGCTATTTTTATTTTTCTATTAATTAAAATGAAAAATGTGTTCTACAAACTAAGAGATATTTGTGAGATCCCATTTTGTGAACTCATTACTTTTTCAAGAACTATAAAGAATTAACTCTTACAATATACTATAAATTCTTAAATCATAAAAATAATTTTTGTAATGACATATTTTAATAAACATTACTTGATTTATCAAGCATCCAATGTTAATGCATTTTTCAGCCTTTATCAGGTTTTTTGCGGGAATTCAGTGTATTAATAAGTAGTGCATAAATTGTATATTAATGAATTTATAAGGAGGGAATTCTATTAAGTAGATATTCCATAATTTAACTGTGATGTTTTTATTTAATTAAAATTTTAAAAAAATTAACAAAATATTCCTGTTTCTATCTATAGACTGGAAGTGTCCGCCCAAGCAGTGACCAGCCACCAAAATCACAATTTCCTAAATCTTCTCAGGATCGAATGTCTTCATTCCAAGAAAGGAAGGCCAAGATGATTGCCGAAGCGAGGAAGAGATACATAGAGAAACATGGCCTTACCCATCTTCTGTAGATATCTCTTTGTATTTTTGCTTTCCTCATTGTTTTATTTCTGCAATAATATTGATACTGACACAACGGTAATTCCACTTTTAATAACTATCACTAGATGTGTAATAGTCATCCAATCGATCGGGTATTTAAAGATATTTATTTCTAGTTTGTCTAAAAGTCCCAGGATATTTTCATTAGATTTTACTTGCCAAAAAGGAATAATCTATGAAAAATAAAACAGACAGAGGGAAAAAAACAACATGTTATGTGTTATTAATTTGGTCAAGTGTTTTCTCTGCTTGATAGACTGAGTGTGTGAATCCGTTAAATTATGTAAATAATATAGTATTATATTTGTTTTTGTAAGAAAGAGAGAGAGAAAAGTTGTTTTGTTACTTTTAATTATTTTAATATATTTTTGTGGTTGAATATCATTTTATATATTATAGCTCTTAAGATTAAAGTAACATAAATTATTTTGGTATATTGATAATGGTTTTGTTTGCTGGATTGCCAAATTGTTTAGCGTAGTGGTATCACTAATGCTTATTTTAGTGATTTCACTATATGGTGTTCTGTAGTAAAAGACATTTTGAACAGGTTTAGGCACTATACAATTTTTCTTGTGTACACATTTTTTCTTTTTCTTGGGCAGTAGTCTATTTGTAAGTAGTGTTCAAAATAAAATATTTCTACCTCAGGAGTTTTAGTATATTAGTTAATTTTACTACCTTAGTTAATTATGAGGAAGTAACCAGATTTTCAAAACTCCAAGATATACAATGAAAGAGCCATGCAACTATGCAATTGTTTGTTTTGTTATGTTACAATTTAAAATTCTGTAAATAAAATAATTCTTTTCTGAAATTATTTTGAAAATATTTGAGGAAAGGAAAAAAAAATGTCAACAAATGAGGTAAAACTTTTTTGGGGGTTATGAAAAACGAACAGTCCTTTTTTCACTCAAAACATTTTAAATTAAAAAAAGAAAAATAATAATAATGAGGAATAAAAACTTTGATAAGTTATCAAATATTAGTATTACAGAAAATAGTATATGAAAACATTATAAAATACTGAACATAAAGAAGATTAAGAACTTAAAATCGTTATCTTCAAGAAATTCTGTGTTTAACCAATTACTATTTTTTAATTTAGTTAGCTTCAATCTTCATTCACTTAAAAGTTGAAAAATTTGTGACTTCAATAAGTTAGGTTATGTTTTATGTTTAAAAGTATATTGTATTTATTTTTATCGCTGGTATTTCATCTTTAATTATCTATTTTACTTTTTCAAAAAATAAAAGACTTAATCTTAATATTCAAAAATATGTTTATTCATCCACAAATATATAAAGTAAAAGTTCCTGATTGTATTTAGACAACTGCTTAAACAAAGGTAGGCAAAGTAAATATATTATTGTATCAAAATTCATTATTTTCTACAGTTAAGTATAAAACATTTAATTTTTTTTCTTGGCCAATAGTTTTATACACTTAAAAATCTTTTGGAAAAGCATTTACAAATTTAATACTTTACTCTTGAGGTAGAGAAGTTTATAATGTACCAAGTATAAGAAAGTTTGATTTTAATTAATTGTTTTCTTCCAAGTTTATTTCACACTGTTATATTATGTTTGAAATTGCCTTTTCTCAGCATTGCACTTAATTTTGTTTAGTTTTATCACCTGACTTATTAACAACCAATGTATGCTTCTTTCCTTGGATTGCTTAATTATTTTGAAGATTTTTGCGTTGTGTTTTTGTAAATAGTGGAGGCAGATTCTTTCTCTCCTCTTTACAACTTTTCATTTGGTTTGTGTTGATCTTCTAATGTGATTCAAGGATTGAAGGTTTGGATTATGCGGGTTTTGTGAAAGGAATGAAAATAATTTTATTAAAGTATAATTAATCATTGTCATATTTCATGTGGATTTAAAGAAAATACCTGTGATTTAATATTTCTTATTGTGGCATTAAAAAAAAAATGTATGTTTTATGATGTCACATTACCGATGGGAATCTGTGCCAGTGTTACAAATGAAGTCAAACATCATGATTATTTAGTTATTTATATTGATTCATGAACAATTACATAATAGATAGACACTTTTTTTTTCAAATTGTAAAAAATAGGTATATTATTAGCAATAAAGCATAATTTAGTAATGAGTTTATTTTTATCATAAATTAGGTTCCTTCATTACATGTCAAGATTTGGCTACTTAATTTTATTATAGCCGCTTTCCAAACTTCAGTCTAAACATAGATAATTAGTTGTCTACTGTTAATCACAACAAATAACTTTATTTTTCCTTGTTTTATATTATTTTTCTAAAAAGTCAACATTAAATTTTTATCGGTTCAATTGACAAGTAGAACCATTACATTTGTTCATAGGAATTTATTATTAAATTACCAAATTACTTAATTTTATTTTTCTGGTGAAGCCTTTACTTCATCTTCATTAATGATTGGATGTTTTTTTTAATATACAGTTCAATCTCCATAATCCCACCTAAAACCCCTACCCTACCCTTCATAATCCTAACTCAAAAAAAAAAAATTATGGATGAAAATTGTTATTCAGGAAAAGAAAAAGTGGGCTAGAGAGCAAGAAACAAATATCTAACAAGACACCTGCCTGCCTTGGCTACTTTTTAAGAATGTTCTTACCTCATACGCATGGACGCACATGCAGTCTTCCCATGGTTAACTTAACAATGATCACTTACCTTCTTTTGTATCAATAGAAGGCATGAAGATTTAATGTCTTGTTACAATCACCGTATTCAATGGGAAAGAACGAAAAATATGCTGTGAAAATGAAGTCTCTTATAACTGCTAAGAGGGAATACGATGAGGAAGAACCTCCAAAAATCAAAACAAAAACAAAAAATTGAATTCTTAAAAAAAATTAAATAATCTTTTATACATACAAATTCAATGTTTTCAATTGAGTATATTATATACTATATATTCAGTTAATATAGGTAAATTTGTTTATTAAGTTAAATTTTTTATAGTAAATAGTTTTCTCGAACAATCTTTGTATATGCTATATCTTTTTAAATTCACCAACTTTTTTTATACACTTAATTCTACCAATGGCAGCCTATGATAACTATTATTTTTCTATATTCACATTAATTTATTAAAAAATAATTACACTCATTTTTACATATTTTGAGTGTTATATTACACAGTATACGGTTAGCTATATTTTCATATAATTTTAAATGTTAATTTATGTATAACTATTATGATTCTTGTTTTCTTAAGTAGTTGTGAAAATATAATTACATATATATGTAATGATTTATTTTCATTTTATATAGTTAGTTCTTTGTTATAAGTAATGTAGAATTTTACTTTTATATATCTGCTACTGTTAATTACTAAATTAATAATCAGCAAATGAGCTGACATATTTTTTTATTTTCACCTACCTATGTATGAAATAAATAATGAGAGATATTATTATGATCATGAACATTTTTGAATCTGAGTTTTCAACGGAAATACTTGTTTTGAGGTCTCATGAGTCCAAATAACCAAGTCCCGCAAAGTGGTCTGTGTGTATATATGTGACAGGTCTAGCTCAAAAACAAAAAGTCGTACGAAATTGAAATTGTATATTTAAGGTTTTTATATGCTTGGATGTTACAGCAACTTTTTTGTCAAAATCGACTAACCGGAAATGACTCTATGTCATCGATTTAACACATTTTTACGATTTTCTCGAAAACGGCTTTAACAATTTTGATCAAATTCATTGTATCAGTATAAAATTAAGCAGTTTTTAATTTTATGTAGGTTTTATTCTCATTGATGTTCTCTAACATGGCTTAAATGGCTAACTTAATATTAGTTTCCCCTAAAGTACCTTTAATTTTTTTTTATTTTAAACAATTAACCATTCCACATTCATCTCTAATTTAAAAAATAGTTAAATATAAAATATGAAAGAATTTGATAATTAACTAAAGGAGAAATAAGAGATCGTAACAGAGAATAGTTGTAATGAAGGAACCAAAGGGATACGAGCTCACCTGAAGATTAAAACAGGCTTCCATAGTAACATGAGCTTCATATAATACGGACTTCGACAATATTATTTACATATACATATGCGGTTTTCCTAATTGTTTTTGTTGGTATTATTTAATATTTAATTGTATAGATTAAAGCGATATAAAAATATCCATAATGAAATATTAATCAATATAATAATAATGCTTTATTTATTCTGGGACGAATCCCTTTAGAATAATACAGAGAGACAAAGATGTGGGCTAAGGAGCCTCAGAGATACATAAACAAGAATATAGTTTGATTAAATAGCCAAAATAAAAAAAATAATAAAAGAAATTATAAGTTATTTTCTAATTTAAATCAGTTAATAATAAAAAATTGAAAATAAACATGAAGTAAAAATAATGAAAAACGATCTAATAATTTATATACATATTTACAGTAGTAGCTGTTTACAATTTTATGATGGCTAGATGGATAAGAAATGATTAAACAGTCGGGACTTAGAGGTAGAAAGAGTTTTGGATTGACGGATGTGGGGAGGGATGGAGTTCCATACGGTTGAGGATCGAATAATATAGGGTTTATAATTTTTACTTTCACTTCTCCTTTATCTGAAAATACTTATTTCTGTTAAGAAGAAAGTGGTAAGTGAAAGTTGGGGGATGCGCACATCGCACCAAAATTTTTTATTTATTTAATGTAAACATTTTTGTACAATTCAAATTTCTGAGAATATTAATTTTTAACTTCTAATAATTTTACTTTCACTTACCCATTCTAGAATTAATAGCCTTTATATGGAATATAAAGTAAAGGAAAGTATTGTTTCTTAACATTTTAGGATTAAATGTTAGAATAACACTCTTTAAAAAATATATAAGAATTACTATTTTATTTTCAAATCCAAACATTGTGGTAAAAATATATTTAAAGGTTTATATTCTATTACAGTATGAGATATATTACAGAAGCAAAATTTAATAGTTGTTATTAATTTAGTTTTCAACAAAACAACACGTTTTGGATCCTCTAAATCCAAATTACCAAGTCTTGCAAAATTTTGTTTTATGTGTATGGAAACAGACTAGCTCAAAAACAAGTCATACATAATTAAAATTACATATTTTGGGTAGATTTATGCTTGAGATGTTACAGCATATATTTTTGTTGTTAACATATATATGTTGTTGTTAATTAACTTAATGGAAGTGCCTCTTTATCTTACCCTAGGTTATTTTTACAATTTTCTCAAAATCTGCTCAAATGATTTTGATTAAACTGTTTATATCAATATAAAATTTAATTAAGTTTAATATCGGCTAGGTCTCATACTCATTGAAACAGTCTGACATAGCTTAAATACTGAGTTTTCAAAATGGTTTCCTCTAAATAAAGTGCCTTCAATTTGTATGAAAGAATTAGAGGTTAGTAGTAATAAAAATTGGCTAAAATAGAATTTGACCAGTAACAAAAAGAGAAATATTTTTCTAGATTTAAAATAATAATAAAATATTTGTGAGTAATATATCATTGCAAAGCTGAGCATTTTAGAAATAATAATTTCTACGTTTATATTTTTTAAAGGATACTAAATGTTTCAATGAAAACTTTTAAAATTTATTTCAAGCTTGACAGACCAAAATTATATGGTGCTCGGTATTGCATCACTGCAATTATTTAAAATACTGTTTTATTATACTTTTTTTGTGAAGATGTAAAGAATTGTATACTGTTGAATTTATTTATGGGTGGAAAACCTTATGGCTATAACTTTAAATAAAGTTTACCAACTTCAAACCTGATTACAGATTTAAATATTAGGTAGTTTTACTTCTACCGATGGATGGTTTCTCTGCAAGATTATTCATGCCATTATATTTTTATCTTCTTTTATTTAATGCAGTAGTAAATTTCATGAAAAAAAAAATATATATTTACTTGCACTATTTGAGTAGAAGTTAATTTCTGTTCAAAGTAGGGTTAGGGTGGTAAGTGAAAGTTGTGGGATGCAGGCACCAAATTTTTATTAATTTTTAATTCCTCTTATTCTACAGTACCTTGATTTTATTATATTTCATAATAATATTTAGAAATATTTTATTATTAATATTTATGTGTTGAAAATTAGCCATAAATATTTAATTTTATATTGGCATTGATAAGAAATCAGCATTTGTGTGTCTCCAACTGAGAATAGTGATAATGAATCTTAAGAAAATGTCAGTTATAACACCAAAGAAGAAATGACCAAATCACATAACATTTTGAAAAGTGCTCTTGTCAACTATAATACAATAAAAATTGCTTTCCTGGAAAAATGGTTCAAGACTCATCTTCAAGGAATCAAGATATTATTTATTTCTGATTTATTTATCTTTTTAATCTACCAAAAAATATGTTATCTTGGCAATAGTACATAATTAATGATAGAATGAATAAACCTGTGTTGTCTAAAAACTTTTTTTGTGGTTCTTAATTAATTTCTCATAACCTTCATTTATTTCTAAATTTAATATGTTATACTATAAAACATACTGTTATATCACCTTTAAAAAATCTATACTCACTGACCTCCAAAGTAAATAAAAAAGTTAAAATTTTAAACCTGCACTATTGACATGGTCTTTTGTTTTGATTACATATCTATGTAGGTAGGTATAAATGAATAAAGGTCTTTTATTACTCTAATTGTTTAAATTATATCGTTCAGTTATTGCAATAATTTCATTTGAGAAGCCAGCCATCGCAATAAAAAATGTCAGCAAGGTATTGATAAACTAAAAAATATAAATTAATTGTTATTAACGTATGATTGATAGTTTATAAATAACAGAAAACAAATTGATATGTCACAAAATAAAATATGATATTCTAATTTTTTTTTTATACAGCATTAATTTACTGAACCAAAATATCATGATTTAAATAAACTTTTAATTTTTTACAAACCTTTCTAGCATTTTGGATTGTTTTATTTTCTACTTTCAAGCAAGAAAAGCCTTTCTTGCTCTGTTAAATAATAATAATATTGTAACAAATAAAAATATTCTTATTTGTACGTTCACTTTAAATTTAATTTAAATACTCTTTCTTTAATTTGTATTAGAATGACATGAAAATAATTGGTTCATAATAGAAGTTCTTTACTTTCAGAGGGTAATCCTTTAACTCAGAAGAAATATTTACAATTTACTAATATTGACTGCAATATGACTGAATTTCATTTGTGAACAATGAAAAAATCAATTAAAGCTTTTCCCCATTTTATGAAATATGATCACTTAAAAATTTAATACATTTTAATAAAATAGCTACTAAACCATTTTATTATTAATATATTCTCTAATAACTCAATAAGTGCATGGCTTCCTCTTCAGTTTTATAAAACTCTTAAATACTGCGATAATTATTATCATTTTCAGCATTCATGGTGCTACAACTCTTGAACAATCAGGGCCTCCTGCAGATTGGTCCTTCAGTCCTCCCTGCTAGTTGTTGCTGCTCTTCAATTACTGATCTCCAAGATGGTCCTTGCATCCACTGATACTTCATCAATCTATCGGTGCCAAAATCTGTCCTCTCTTCTCATGCCTTAAATCTTTTCATTAAGGATTTTCCCAGGAATGTGGTATAGTGTCCCTCTAACTATATACTCTGTCGTTCAAAGGCATAAGTAAGCACCAGTCTTATCGGTATCTTATATATTTGTACTTAACTGGTCTAAGAGATCACCCTTTGCTTTAAATGCTTTTATAACCCGTAGTAGCAGTTATTTGCAATGATGATTCTCCGTTCGATCTCGACTTATATCTCATTAATCAAGACTAATTGTGAACAAATAAAATCAAACATTCATTATTGACAAGCATAAAATAATTCATCCGAAAATATCTCACCACAGTCCTATTATCCAACTCTGTT